CTTGACAAAGCTCCGAGAGGAAGAGTAGAGTGGTGAAGATCATTAGGTAAATAAGGTTAAATATAAAAAAGAGGATTATTGAAACCACATATTACTTACAGTACTTGTAGAATGTTGCAAAATTCTCAACATTTGTATCACATTAAATTCAGTTCCACCTGTTACCAGAGTATCAAAGGAATGTAAGGAAGAGCTCAGTAGTATAGTCAGGCTGTGAAACAAATTAAGGACTCCTTCACAATCCATTATTCCTGATGTCTATTTGACTGTCTAAATGCAATCCGAACTGGCACATCTCACAAAATGTGCCAACCACTGTACCAGGTGGAACAGTGGGGCAACTGTACATACTGTACTATTCAGAAAATTACGGTATTCTGTTTACCTAAACTTGTTACTCAACTTGTGGAGTATACAGTATAATGCAAAATTTTGGTGAATCAGCAACCCAAAATTTATGTCACTGATAATGTTATTTGAAACTCACAAATTATTCACATTATAGAATACAGTTATGTAATTGAGTGTACAGTCGTGTAAAACAAAAACAAATAACAAGAGGTTTTGTAAGAAAACTTAATTTTTTCTATTGAAAATACTGTACAAACTTAAGATGCCTTCTCTCGTATATAAAACATAACAAGCGGTTAGTACTACTGGTTCATTACACAAGTTACAGGATTATTCATAAAAAAAAATTACCATTATGTAGGATAGATAAAGTTATTCAATTTGGCTCAAACAATTAACTTGCTCACCACTGTTAGCTGCATAAATTTTAGAACAATGAAAGACACTTTTCAATGCTGGTTTATACATTACATGTACTGTACAGTAGAGTAGAGTACAGTACTGGGGATGGTAGAAACTGTAGGTTAATCTTCCTCTCAGTTCTTCAACATGCGAGATTATTGTACTGTACTGTACTGTACTGTAAACGCATTCAGGTAATATTTTTATGAACAATACTGTACTAAAACCATGTTGACCTAATTCAATATTGAAATGTATCGTAATAAGAATATATTAAAAGAAAAGTTCACAAATTATCATTGAGAAGATTATCACCTGTAATGACAAACCCCAAAAAAGGTTAGAAAATCTGTACATCAGGTGTACTTTTACTGTACAGTATATGGAAATAAAGTCAGGTACAAGACTTATAAGAAATATTAAAGTTAGAAATCATCATGGTCACAGGCTTTCTTTTTCTAATTTGTACAGTACACTGTACAATATATATATACAGGTATTTATTTTTGGTAAAAAAGTACACCAGAAGATTAGGCAGAAGGGTACACACAGCTACACTTATTTGTAATTATTGCTATGTTCTCTGAGGTTACTTAATCCTGGCCACTAAGGGTCAGGTTCACCATAACAACACTCTACTGTACACGATCATGTAATTGCCGACGATATAATTGCATAGAGGTAAAAAACCACAGGAAACTTTGTCCCATTGCATAGTTTGTTGCATTATGCATGATGAAGGGAACATGGCTGGCAAAATTTGTTTATTCACATCTGTATCAGCCATTTGCAAGTCCTCCTGCTCACCAAGATTATAACATGAACGAGTGAGGTAAAAAACTGCGTCTACGCAGGACTCCCTCATAACTAACTTCACAATACTACACTATCATCTCTACACCTTATAATAAGTAACAATAATTACAGTATCTATATAGAACAAATATTAAATTGTAGTCACATTCTCAGTATATACAGCAGTGCCATATCCACTGATTTTATTTGTCTTGCATGATAGAAGGTTTCTGTCACAGAATCCTAATTCAATAATAAAAAATAACAAAACCTAAACCAGCCTCAGGGATTACTGGATACGAACACCATACAAGAACAACAAATATCAGCGTGACATTAAGGATACAGTCAGCGCTAACACACACCAGCAGACATTGTACTGTACGTAAATATTACTGGGAGTGTTATGGCACGAGAGCTACCTGGTACTGTTAGAAAAATTACTCAGACAGGTCACGAGGTCTTGTCATCTGAATATACACACTGCCAGGATGAGGTCCATGATGCTCTGAACTTTGTGTCATAATAAATACGGTACTGATCACGACACCCAACCCTTTAAGTTTCAAGCTACACCTCACAGATAGAAAAGGTTTAAGGACTTATCTATGTTGTGTTGATGAGCACTGGTGTGTCATATATTCTCACATTATAATAGTGATAGAACAAAACAGACACAGATGGCAACACAACAACCTGGGGGGAACACTCAATAATCTCAGGGGTGAATGAGATAGGATAGTGTTATTCTCTTGTGGTCATTGTACAAAATTTAAGTTCATGTGTGTAGATAACTCTGAAGCATTCAAGTTCAGACCACTGCACAAGAACCCCACACACACCCGATGAACTCTTTTTAATTCTTTTGAGATCGTCACCTGACAATACTGCAAAGGACAATACACAGTCTCTCCTCGACTTACGAAGGGGTTCCATCCCGACGACCAGGTCATAAGTCGAATTGGTCCTATTTCGAAAAGGCGAAAATAATACAGTTGTACCCCACTTAACGCGGTCAATTGAACCCAGAGGGTCCCGCGTTAAGTGAAAACCGCGTTAAGTGAATAACAGAACATATGGGATTAATTCCAATAGAACCCAGCCCGACCCCCAAACTCCACTTTTTGACGACAAATAACTATGTTGTAGTAAAAATTCTATCTTAACTTTATGGTGGCATGAAAAACAAGTAATATAGAAGAGGTTAGGTTAGGAAAGATAAAGGTTAACATAGGAAAAATAAAGAATAGGTTAAAAAACGAAAATTTTTGAGGAACACTCACGGTAGTAGAAGAGATGGGTCGGCATACGGGGATGGAGGCTGGTTCCGAGGCAGAGGGCAGATTACTGCCCCTCAGGTGAATCACCATTACTAGGTGAATCACCATTACTAGGTGAATCAATATCACTGTCACTTACAGTTGTCATGGCTTCCCTGACAAATCCCTCAAAATCAACTTCACTATCACTGGCTTGGGCTGGCTGTGGAGGGATGAAACTGCCGCGGCTAGGTCAAGTGTCGTCTCTCCTCCCTCCCTCCCTCCCCGGGGTAGTCACGTCATAATACTTTAAGCCAATTACAGCTAGCAGCAGAGGGGGGTAGGGCTGCATGGCCAATCACAGTCCGAGACGTCATATGACGTCAGTGATAACGCAACAAAGACACACACTGCGCAACCTTACCGCGCCGCTTACCCAAGCGGAGGGAGAAGGAGGGAGAGGCAGGCAGGCAGGCAGGCGGGCGGGTGGGTGGCGCGTGGGCAAAATCTAAAAATAGCATCCGAGCCGGACACTCACCGCGTATATGTGGAAAAAACCCGCGTTAAGTGAAAGTTCAGCTTTGGCAAGGCACCGCGTATATGCGAAAACGCGTTAAGTGAAAGCGCGTTAAGCGGGGTAAAACTGTACATAGAAATTCTAAAATAGGCGTCTCTTTTTCTTCTCAGCACTTTTACGCTTGCCAGCCATTTTAAAGGGAATTACAAACGAAAATATTGTCATTACACAGCACGATCACTAACGTCGGGACTCGAAAATATGTAATGTGAAAAATATTTTATACTATCATGGCCGTCGTATGTCCTGGTTGTCGTAAGTCGAATATGTTGTAAGTCGAGGAGAGACTGTAATGGACATTACTTACTCTCTTTCTCCTTTTGTTCTCAGTCACTTTATATAAGGTGAATTAGAAACAATTACTACAGTATATTCACTTCAGAGACTCTGCCAAAGTTGTCAACTGCAACAAATTACAGCATGAATACTGATGGCAGAATATAAATAATATTGTGAATAAAGTAACTGTTATGTAAAAATCAACATCTCAAGCTGTCATAAATAAAATCCATAACTTAAATAACTGAGTGTCCAGGTTGTATGAGTCCATTATACTGTATCATATTTTATGATTTAATACTGTAACTCAATGTATACACACTATATACAGCACCATCCATATTATATTTACTGATTTAATTTGTACAGAAACCTGTAAAATGATCTCAAAAAGTATTTTTTATTTCTTTGAATAATGTATTTTTACAAACAGATTCACACATCTAAGTTTTTCACACGCACATATGAAGGACAAAAGATCATGGTATGGGTTCTTGTGTTGACGGGTGCCACACTCGGAAAAAATAAATAAAAATAAACTCGAATTGGGCTCGAATGTTGACCAGTTTGTACTGCCGAATATACCCACTTATGCTTTGATCATGTCTGAGATACTGATAAAGTCTAATCAAGATTTTCTCCATTCGAAGTGACAGAGGTTCCTAGGTACAGTATAAGAGGTCCTAATTTGTGAAGCACTACTGTACTGTACATTTGATGGCTCTCATACCCACTTATGAAGATAATTTCTTTCTTCAACCACCATATTATTTCATCAGCATCGCCATTATACAGACATTTTACACGCTTACATGACTTACCTTTGGGCAGTCATAACTTTAAAAAAATGTTCAATTAAAAAAAATGCTCAATTAAGATAGCTGCTACACAAACTGATGATCTGTATGTAGGTGTTTTTGTACAGTGTGAATCTCTGATACATAAATTTAAAAGATAAGGTTTGATCTTTGGGATGCCTATAGGTTAAAAGGCTTCTGTTGGTGTGTTATGGTGTGTGTGGGCAAGTGCGTCAAGATCTGGACCAAGTTCAGCTCCTCTCTCTCTGAATGATGTCACACACCTTGCTACAGTCAGCTGGCTACAAATAATATTCTTGTGAGTCCATACTTACAGCCTCACTTATGTTCATATGGTCACATCTTTAATCTTTTATCACAAGGAAGCATCAGGTGTCTCATATTGTTACTTTAGTCCGAGTAACACCTGTGGTACGAGTATTACTGAAAAGTTAGAAATACTGACTGAAGAAAATGTAAAAGAAGGATGTGGAGAACCAGAAACCTAATATTTAACAACAATGTGGATAAAGTGACAAAAATGTAAGATGTTTTATTAACATCTTTCAACTGCCATGCAAAACATATAAACTTTATATTCACTACTGAGATACAGAAAATAATGCTATAAGTTCCTTCCAACTAGTAAAAAAATTTACTTTTTTTTATTTATTTGTGTGTGTGTGCATGCATGTGTGTATTCAGCATGTTGTTCTTCACTTGTTTGTTGATCAAAACAATTATTTTAGTTGAGAGAAAATAATATTACCAGTAATAAACAAAGATACATATAATGGCCTGACAAACATGTAGGCACAAAACTGCCTATACAGTATTGTACGGCAAGTGAAGTATACATGTCCACAGTCATGTACTATATCAACTTGCATGATATAATATAAGGCATTTGAATATATATATATCCCTATGAATGTAAGTTCTCCTATTTAATGTGTTTAGTTTTCAAGTATTTGGATAAAAAATTACCTAAGTTTCTACAGGCTGGTTTTTTTTCAGTAAATCTACAAATATTATAACTGTACAAAAAGTTTCCTTCACAGAACATTTTTGGGGGATAACTCTCAACCTGATTTTAAAAAGTACAAATAATATGACTTACCCAGTCTCAGGTTTATAATGACTAGCAAAAAATGACCTCTGACCTGATCAATTTACATGTAAAAAAACCCAGCCTGTATAAAATCAAAGGTTATGCTTACTGCTCTCCTATGGTTCCTTATCTATCATATTTTCATAACAATACCAAGAGTAAATATACTGGTTGATACTACAGTACAGGTTGTAAATGACTACAGTATTATATCTACGCATATGTATGTATGGAAAACTGCAGAAAACCAAACCTTCAGGATATACAGTAATGGCATTACAGTCAATGGCCACAACTGCAGCATCATTATGGTGTTGTGTACGTGACTTAAGAATGTTGGTGCTGTCCTCTTGGCTGTGGTCAGGAATGTTGCCTTCTCCTTGGGAATGTCTTGAGCTGATCTCTAAACTTTAAAGTCATACAATAATTGGTAAGTAATGACACAGGTAATAGTTCTGTCGCTTATAAATCAAACTCTGGAGGTATAAGTGCCATGTACACCAAAGTGGTCTATTTCATTCACACACTACAAAAACATTCAGTTACACACACACACACACACAATTTGCCAGTTTGTTATAAAAGGCACAAAAAAGAAATATCGTAACTCACATATTACCATTTTCTAGTTTTTATTACCAGCTTCTTAAAGGGACTGATAGTCATGACACAACTCAGGGTGCCTTACATCTCACTCTTACTTTACTGTGACTCAACACCTGCCAACACAGTACTGACATGAACTGAACTGTCCAGGGTTTTTTGACTTTGGTAAACCAGTGATAAGGGAAACAATGGTTATGAAAAAATACTAATTCTAAATATATATATTCTATACATTAACAACACTTCAGTTTGGAAAATTATTTTAGAACATAATTTTTATCTTTAAAACACTCACACCATTATAACAAGCATGTAGTCCGTTTTCTCAATGATGCTATGAAACAAACTCTCTGTGACTTTGCTTTAAACTCATTGCCACACAGGAAGGTAAACAACCACACCTGGGTTTTCTGAATCTTGTGAGGAGACCCAGCAGACCACCCACATGACACCCATCCATCCTCCTGGTGGGTCAATCTTTCCTGTTTGTCCTTCTACTGTAACTACTGTACTGTGTTTAACCTACAACTGAGATGTAAGTTGTGTACACTGTCAGTTCATCCATCAACAATATTGTACTGTACTAAGGTATGTTAACACTGCACTTTGTCTCCATCAACAGTAACAGGATATATTAACTATCCATCAATAGTAACAGGATATATTAACTATAATTTTAGGCCAAACAGTCATGGTAATTGGGGCACTTTAATAAGGATTATAACCAGTAATTATATATATATGATTAAATTTTAGTCCAGAGAATGATGACTTGGCACTTTATTAAAGAATCTATCAGTGATTAGAAATACAGTGAGAAGAGTTATAGTCCAGAATGGCATCATTTCTCTAAACACTTTCATCCTCTGGAGAAGATTGGCTGGACTTGGCGACCCAATAAGGCAATAACGCTAGGTCAGTATGGCACAGTTGCCCCCCCCCCTGGAATATTCTCTCTTGCACTTTATTTTTGTCACATTCTTACTGGAATGCTTGTAAGCAGACAATCCCATAAACTTACACTCAAAACACTCTTCTGGTTCTTCTAGACCAGGGGTTCTCAACCGGGGGGGAATTTCCCCCCCTCAGGTTTTCAGGGGGGGGGAAATACTAATATGGAAAAATAAAGGATTTTCAGTATTATATGCATATTATTTGGAATGCACTTTTTGAGGCAGACAATCTTGGAAAGGAGGGGGAATGACATTCTGACATATGGTGAAAGGGGTGCATGGGGCAAACAAGGTTGAGAACCACTGTTCTAGACCCTTGACTGCCTCTTCTCAAACTGATGGCAAAATTCCATACTTACAAAGAATTTTCTGATAAGATTGTGTTAAAGTCTTCGTAAGTTGCCAAGAAAATCAACCGAATCACATACTACAGGTACTTAACTCTCCAGCTAACATGTTTGATGAATAAACTTGTAGACAAAAAAAATCAAAGAGTTAAAAAGAAAGACTTGTTATATATTTCAGCCATCATCATTTAACTTCTCTGACAGGTTACTCTGTGATTCTCTTGGCTAACCTTACCCACACTCCATCTTGTGCCTTCAGGAGACCACTACGTTTTTCAATAATTAAGGGTACCTGAGTCTTCTTGCTGGGGATGAATGCAAACTCCTGTAACAAGTACACAATAGCCACCTTTGCTTCCATCAGGGCAAACCTCATTCCTGTAATCAAATAATAATCTTTGTGAGTTTTAAGCAATATGGACTTAAAAGTGGCTTGTGAAGATGTATAAATATATTTGTACTGCAACAGCAAACACAAAGGCTCAGGTAAAGCTTCTTATGCATGTCTTGAATTGCAGACTACGAATGTATGGAAGACAGGAAATGCTTATATACAACACAACTGACAAATTCTTTCTGGGTGTAGTACAAGTAAGTGCCCACAAATGGAGTTTCTCACATATGATGAAGAAGACATATGATCAATGGTGAGCTGGAGGAGCAATATTCAGTCTATTTAAACTTTAAAAGGGCATTTTTTATCTCAATAAATTACCCCTTGAGTCACTCTTCAGCATCATCAAATATTACATGAAATGTACTATAGTGTAAAAAATTTGACCAATGAGATTATCCCACCAGAAGACCTGCCTTGGTTATGACTGTCTGCATGCTGGGACAGGGACTTTCTCCGGTGGATCATACATATTGATCCTCAAATTTGCCCTGCCTTTGTCCCACTGTTAACACACACTGTACTGCATTGGCTACACACTTCTGTGCTCATTGAGATTTTTCTAAGGATAGAGATTCTGTTACTTTGTCCTCATATTTTGGCAGTGTAGATTTTTGTCATAATTCCTTATACAGTCAACAAATTTATTCTGTGTATAAGGTTAGTAACATGGAAGCTGTTTTATTTAATATTATTTCTTCAAGGTCAATTGTGGTTTACTTAGCATTACTGTTGTTTCTTATTGATGTGAACACAAGGTATGGAGTGATATATCTAATACAGGTATCATATCAAATTTCACAACAGAAGAATTTATAACTACAAAACTAACCTGAAGATCAATACTTCAAATTATTTCACTTGATTAAATACACTAATGCTACTTGGGGAAGGTTAGATTAGATTAGATTAGGTTAGATTAGCATGGTTAATCTTAAGGTGAAATAAGCTGGAGGGGGCCTAATCTCCATGTGATCCTATTTTTACTACTGTACTGTATTTCACCTCCAGGAGAGTCATCTTACCTATACAATTGCGGGGTCCACTTCCAAAGGGCAAGTACACAATGTATGAACGGTTGGCTTTGTTTTCTGGTGAGAAGCGTTCTGGATCAAATTTCTCTGGCTCTGGATAGTGATTTGGATCTCTGTGTATGCTGGAACAAGAATTTGGGCGGTCATGTATCTGTGTCAGGCGAGTGTGTCTTGGGTTATTCTGTGTCACTCACACACAGAGTTGATATTTGCTGAACTTATCGTCGTTTCTTAAGAGGGTAAATACAAAGGAAGTTTCATTGAATTTAGATGGGAAATTTAAGTCAAAAAGAAAATAAAGGAGTGAGTAGAGAGACACCAATTGAGAGAAAGATCAAAAGCTTGATAGGTATACAAACAGAAACACAATGATACAGTATATAAACAGATGTGGTTAATTATGGTCATGGTTATATACAATGATTACAATAAATCATTTCTTTCTTAATAGGGAAAAGTATATACTGAACTACTTTACCTATAAATGGGTATGCTGACTTTCTGGCCTTTATGGAGAATTAAATTGGTGCCGGGGAGGGTGAAGTCCTTGGTGACAGTGCGGTCCACTCGAGGCGCTGGAGGGTACAGCCGCAGAGTCTCTAAAAAAGACCATAAAAGCTTAGGTTAGGTTAAATTTAGTTAGGTCAGATAAGATTAGATAAAGTTAGGTAAGGTATGTTATGTTATCTTATATGTTATGTTATGTTAGGTTAGGTTAATCTTCAGCGTGAAGTAAGTTTGGGGGGAAGGCTAGTCTGTATGTACTGTAATCCTTTTCTAACTATTTCCTCTCGTAGAGAGTTACCTTACCTAAAACAATATTGTTCATTAACAGATAATGTCTGGTTTAATTCCAGTATGACAATGCAAAGTGTTCCTCTAAAATGGCTTAGTTTTATTTTTCATGAACTGCAATGTACAAAATATAGATATTGTACTGTATAAAATTCAGGGCTGTAATTTCAAGCACTACATTTTTCCCACATATCAAACTGATCCCAGCAAGTGAATTTGTGGTGTTACTCACCTTACTCAGTCAGAGCTCAAGAATATAAGTACATACTGTATGCCGTACCATCCAGAAAATTCTAACTATCTGACATAACTTCAAATACTCAAGAAAGATCAGTTTTATAACGTTGACAAATAGAAATAAAAAACTGACCAGCAAACACCATATCCAAGTATGTCATCTCCATGATGGCCTCATAGGTGATCTCGCCTTCGTGTTTCTCCAATACCGTTTCAATCTCCTGCATACACTTCTGCTGAATATCTGGGTGAAGTGCGAGGCAGTAAGAGAGGAAACTCAGGGTCGTCGCAGTTGTGTCATAACCCGCCATGTAGAACAAGACACACTGAGCGGTAATAACTAGATCTGTCAACACTGCAAAAAAAGATAAGAAAAAAAAAGAGATGAGTTTGCGTATAAAGTAAAGGAACTGAAACCCAGAAAACCCTTCTTTAAACCTTCCCTCTGAACAAGATGCTCGGTGTTGCAAACTGCCTCACTGCAACGTGAGGAAGATTTACTCTCTTCCTGTCTCTCAAGACCTAACATCAGACCAGTGATGTAGTCAAGACCACTAAGACCCAGACTGAGATCTACATCTCTAACAATATACGTACCTGTCCATAAAACGACACAAAACTCCCGAGACCCTCAGCATTTTCCATGTTCACAGTAAAAAAAGCAGTACAGTAAAGCCAAAGAATCCAGACTGTCCTTTGACTGAACTTTTTCAGATACTGTCTGTACTGTACTGTATATTGAGCAAAACTCCATATTAGACGAGTTTTTCGGAATTGTTTTATACCAAAAAACTCCCTTTATTGAGTTGGTTGCTCACTGAATATTTTGGTATAGAGAGGTAATACTGTAATGTACTGTACTGGGTCGACAATAATATTTATGTTAAAGAAAGAAATTATGAATACAAAACTGAATGTCTGCAATGTCTACAGATGTGACAAAGTACAGTACACAACAGAGTAATCTGGGTGGGCCAAGAAATGTGAGGAGGCTACATGGAGTGAGCACTTAGCAGGAAGCTGCACAAGGCAGTGAAAGGTTTTTGGCTGCCTCAATAAGTTCTTTGAATACTGGACCTGATAACCCTTTGACCAGCCCTACTAATGCTGCCCAACTCGTCCCAACTCGCATCCATTTCTTGCTTGTTTTAGATATAAAAACAATATTATACACAACAAGGCATGGACGAACATATGACCAGCCGGAGGTCAAACAAACATTTATACAGTTGAGAATGAGCCATCATGGGGTGTTAACAATGAAGGAGTCACCACAGATTATTTACTGTTACCAACAAAATGTGGATGACACCAGTACACCACCAGGGCACTGAGCGAAGGAACTCCAACATTAATAAAACAAGACATTGCAGTGGAGGCACACCTTGGTTAGTGACCTTCTTAGAGGAGAGGTCAGCACTCTCACTGCCTTTGTTGTTGTTTGTTTGTTCCTGAAGTCGAGCATCGAGGAGTAGCTGAAGGAAATCATTTCTTCTCAGGTTATTCTGCAAACGATACTTCATTGTGTCTGACACAACCTGAAATATATGCAGTACTGTAAAAGGGAAGGTTTTTTCACTTGGTAATGTTATTTATTTGGAGAACAATACACTGATGTACAATCTTAACAAGTGAAAATATTTGTAAATACTGTAATTTAATAACAACAAAAATAAAATCAGCACATACAAGCCTGTGGTTCTTCATCTGCAAGAATTAAGTTTTAACAAATGAAATCAATCCATCAATGCCTGTTCATACTGAAATGCAGTACTTAATTTTTATTGGCTTTCTTCCATATGCAATCCTTCCACCTTCCACATGTGTTTATTAACACTCACAGATTAGACAAAATGTGATGCAGGAGTTCAATGCCATCTAGAGAGAAGAGTACCAGAGGTACTTCAACACTTGGCACAACACTTTGAGTCATTGTGTACATTAAGGGGAGACTTGAGGTACTTTGAAGGTGATAAATTTGAACAACCCAATGGCCATTAATTTTGAAAAAAAAAAAAAAAAAAAAAGGATTGGCCGGGGAACTTTTTGGTCAGATTCTATATGGGTGTGAAGCCTGGACTAATCATAATAACACTGACTAATGTATAAAACAAAAAAATATAGTCAAGCTTACCTTTGTAAAAAAGTAGATGGGTGTTCTATCGATAACATTGAGGCAGAGATATTTGGCAATCTGGGGCCATAAGAACTGGAAGAATATGAAGGGTCGCTTCCACTTGGGTGGTGGCTTGAAGAAACTTGCTGCAGCCTGAGAGAATTCATTCTGTTGGCCCAAAATACAACTTTACTGTACTTAATAGTTATGTTCAATGTGTGGTTTATGAGGATTAATGTGTGGCTCATGTGATGTACTGTATAGTGGTGATGGTTCTGTATGATGCTGAAGTAAGTTGGTGACGTGTTGTAGAAAAGAAGGATAAATCAGAAGATTTTACAGCTTTACTATAGACGGAGATCATTATCGCAGAACACAAATGTTAAACTTGTTAGTGAGACCATATATGTAACTCAACACAGAGAGCAAGTGTGTGTTGCTCTTGTTCCACCCGCCAGGATGATACATTAACTTCTTCACTACAGGGATGCCAGATAATTTCATTTAGAAAGATCTGTACACATAGGGTTAAGCTGTGATGTGCTGTCTACCTCAAGCCATATTTGATCTCTACAGGTAACACAGCTGACTCAAAATTGCTTTGTTCTTTTATTTAACATTTCCACCAAACAATTTTATTCAGCTTTGAGGCAACCCCGTACACAAGGGGTTAAGACGCAGGCATGATTACAAGTAAGAGGAAAAAAAGAATGGCCTTCCACAACACTACACTTAACATAGACTGGAACAAGTGATGCTTCTCAATGTGCCCCTCTCTACCTGTGATCTTGTGTCAATGGTACACAAACAATAATTGTACCTGTGTACTGTTGAGTGAGTCGCTGTTTACTCCAAAGGCAATACTGGCGATGGTGTCCATGGTGAACATCCCGTACACTTCCTTCATCTCAAACACAGAAGACCTACAAGAGATGCAATATATCAACCTTTAACTGGCAGCCAAGGATTCCCTACTCCATTCCATAATTATACACTGAAATGGAACATTAAAAACTTGAAATGTCCATTGATGAATAACTTAAATAATGTACATTTAGATTAATTACAAGGTACAGTATAGGTAACTTTGTATTTCCACATCTTATGGCCCTTTCTCTAACATACACCAAACTGGAAATGAAAATGTTATGATGCAGAACAATCCATCTCATCACACATTAGAACCAGACCTTTTTTTCCACTCCCATAATATTATATCAATCAACCAAAAGTGCAATCTTTATAGCTGAGGGTTGGCGACCACAGTCCTCCACTTTTAAAAATATTGAAGTTGTTTTTACCAATCCTCTGGGATTTTGCATCTCTCTAAGGACTCGGTTTTTAATTTAATTCATCCATCCTAGTCTCTGCCTTCCCCTGGCCATCGTAACCTTAACTCTGTCCATTAATATTTCTGCTATTATTCCCTCATCATATGATCAAAATATCTAATTTTCCTTGTGCTATATATTACAAGTATTTCTCTTAAAGTTGTTACCAAGATAATACTGTACTTCATTTGTTTTCTTGTCAGTGTCACTACATTTCAAAGGCCTCTAACATAATTCTGAGGTCTGCTGAAATGTGTCCCCTTCCGACCCATACAACAGTCCTGACCATACATAACATTTCACCAGCCCCCTTTTTTTCAAATTGAAGTTAATGTCCTAATTTATAAGGTCTTTCATATTATTAAATCCTGAATTTTCTTGACCTATTCCTGTCTTGATTTATGTTGCCCATCTCCTATCACAGCTAATGTTACTTCATAAATACACATAATTTTCCACTTGTTTAAGTTCGCTGTTGCTGCCCACAGTATCATATAACTTATACCTGTACTAATTTAGCCATCTTATTCTTTTAGTTTGGAAAAAATTATCAATTTGTCAGCATGGAATGTGCATCAGCCATAACTGTGTTAACAAATAGAAGATCTCCACAAACCTCTTCTCAAGTTCCTTATCAAAGTAGGTGATTAGGTTCTTGGCACAGTCCTTCACCAGCTGCAAGGTTTGTTTTATCTTGCCAGAGCTGAACGTTGGCGTCATCACCGACCGCACTGCCTTCCACATTCCTCCCTTCAACCCTAGCAACATGTGGTCCATCACCGGCTCATTGAACGTCACAAAACTGTTAAGTGTGAGAAATTATGGCTCAAAACTAGCCCAGAATTGTAAGAAAGAAAACCTTTTTAATAATCTGTATACTGTATATGAAAAGCAAGTATGAGCGATTTACTTAGTAATCTATCATCATTATTTTAAGACCAATTTCCACACATGTGTGGGTTAGCCATGATTACCTGCTGGCACCTCTCCAAGCTTCAGTCTCTATTGTCAGGTTCTTATCAACGAGGTCATTTTTCACGTCTCTTTATGTTATTCTTGGCCTACCATCTCAGCCCACCTCTGCACAAAACCACCCCAATGCTTTCAATACCCTGACACCCTCTTAGCTCTGAATAGCATTTCCTATCTTTCAATGTCACATAACCCATCCATCTCATCATTCTATCTCAGTTCACTCCAACCTTAGTACTGTATGTCATCCACTTTAACTCACACTACAACACGCTTCTCATGGCAATTGCATACATCTTTATTTCATACAAAGAGAAGGTTCTCTTGCCATTAATAAAGGCTAAAGGAGGAACTATAAAACCTGTATCTGTTTTTTTTTTATATTACAGTACAAGGAAAACATATGTAAGGAAAACACAGAAATGAGAAAAAATACTGTACAGTAAAGTGTGAAAGACAATGCAGAGTTTAATAAACTGTGGCAGACCATCAGTAAGTGATGGTACAAAACTTTACTTAACAGAACCATCGACAACAGAAAGGTTAGTCTCTTCTATTCCTATTTCAATACTGTAATGTGTCTACTAAGTGCTTTACCGCTTCATTTTAACTTTTATGTCAAGTAAAATAAGAATGGTAATAAAGGTGACAAAAATATCTTACCTTCTGTCAGTAAAATGGTCGAAGTCCTTCACCATGATGTGTTTGAGTAGCTCTGGGTCACCAACCATAAGACATGGCTGTGTAAATTCATAATAACCACAGAATGTCTTTCCTCCGTGATTCTTATACAGCATTTGGTCAAACTCTGCCATCGAATGTGTTGCTCTGAGCCTGGCATACATGTTGCCAATAATCCATGTGGGTTTTGGACCTTGAACCCCTCGAGTCTCCCAGAAACTGTAGATCTTTTGTAAATAGAGCCCAACCAGGAAGAGCACCACTATTATCGGCACAATGAGAGGGAAAGTACACACACAAGACACTATTTGAGCAATCATCTTGGTGGTTTACAGTGTGTGGGCAAAACTTGTCCTTCAAATTATGAGAAGTGAGAAGATTCTTAAGATTTGAACTATATCTCTTCAAAGGTACATGAGTTATATAATACAAGCTCTATAATGAATACAAATGTACACGTTATATCTCCAAATTGACAACCATATTTAGTACAATTGTCACAGAGACAAATTACTTCAGCACAATCAAGCCATTCAGTGCTGATGATCGACGAGATTTATCACGGTAAAATTCAACACCAAACAGTCATAAAATAAACGCAGCACTATCATAGCCACTCAAACTGACAAGAAATAACTAACTTACAAGACACACACACAAGTCTTGCATTAGTAACAACGGTGAAACGAGTGCCATGTGAGGCAATTTTATACTGTAAAAGCGACGAGGATTTATGGCACTGGAGTACCGCAGCTTCTAGGCACACGTCAGTCTTAACAAGATACTCCTGAGCTGGCAGTCAACAACATAAGAAAGAGAACAATGTGATAATCAAACAATTCTTCTCTGTCTTGGAACAGCTGTAATGTTCTTAGTACGTAATTTCTTGATTCACTGTTGACAGATGAAATCCGTGTGTGACTGCTGAGGGCTGCAGGTGCACACAACTGTAATATAAGAAAACATCATTACTACAACTGTACTTAAGGTTAACATTATGCTCTTCACAGCTTGTTATACAGTACAGTATAATAAAGTGGTAAATGTTCATATCTGAAGCAAGAACCTAAGCTTTCTTGCCTTTAATTTATCTGTTTTACAATACAGTACGTACTTGTATTTCCATCTCTTTTTCTCTCTCATGCTTCCTCACTCTTTCTCTGTTCAAGTTCATATATAGGACAGTATTTCTATCTACTTGAATACTGAACAAAATAAACCAGGTAAAATAAAGTATCACTTAACTTGATTTCATTAACAGTAGTATAGACAGTTTGGTCAAGGGAAAATTTTGCTCACTATAAACTTTCCCTTAACCAGACAAGTCTCACTAAACCAGATAGTTTTCCAGGGAGCTACTGTGAGGAGCAACTATGCAAGGATTGTATGGTTGAAGACAATAAGGGATTCAGGATGCTGCTAAATTCAACAGTCTAGAAATCGGAGTCAATGAGGCTGTTGCAGACCATAAAGGAAAGATAAATTTAGAGTCATAAATAGATGAAGCTGGAATAAAATACTTAAGGGTTATTTTGCCCTCTAAAGGGTTAATCAAGGTAGGTTCTCACCCTTTAGCAGGCAGGAGCTGCCCTCAGCTGAATAAAATCATCTGGCACTAGCCACAATAAAATACCCAATGGATACTTTGCCCTCTATAGGGTTCAAATAATTTTTTCCTTGCTTCACCAACAAATATTGCCTTCCACTAATCACAAGAAAAGTTTTGGTGAAAATCCCTGAGAAAACAAACTACTGTACTGTACTGTACTGTACTGTACTGTACTGCAGTAGTAAATGTGGTCCTAAAATATTCCCCCCTTTTTTTATAATATTTCTTATTACAGAAAAAACAATGTGGACTTTTGAAAGAAAATAATTAATTTAGAATACAGTGTTAAGTTTTACACTAAAATGCAGGCTCCGTTGATGAGGTGCAGCTGTGACATTACAATATTGAACCATTTATAGAAGATGACCTAAACCAAACTAACTTGACTTACCTTAATGAAAAAATTAAGATGAAGAAAATAAGGTTTAGTAAGTCTGGTTCACATAATCTGCCGTACACAATTTAACACTTTGGCCTCACGGCCACAGAATGTTAACAATTTACTTTAACCCTCAAATATATTCAAATCCATATTTAGTAATGTGATCTCTAGTAAATTTATTGATTTTTTTAATATTCAAAATATATTTCTGCAATAACATACTGTATACTGTACTACAGTGATTTCTGCTATAACGCGTGTTTTGATAACGCGAATTTGCTCTAACGCGATTTATGAATTAGGAACGATATTTGTATAACGCGAACGCTTGTTTGCTATAACGCGATTTTTGCTTACTATTTCTCCAATTTTGTGAATATAGTAAAGAAGAATATCAACAAGAAGCGTTCCGGTGATAAAATTCCTGGTGATGATCGTAAAAGAAAGGATATAACACTAGAAGAGAAGCTCGATTTTATCAACCTCAAAATCACCCTTCTCCCCCATCAAGTAAAGTGTTACATTTACTGTATGATTTCATTATTAGATATGAATGTAACATTTATTTAGACCGTGCTATCCTTTGTGTTAGGCTAACTACTAAATTTTTTCGATTTCGAGTAATCTGCACCTAACCCTATTTTCTCCATAAGCCCTGTTATTTCTATTACGCGATTTTCTATAACACGATATTTTACAAGAACACAATTATCGCGTTATAGCAGAACTACCTATTACATATACTGTTTGGAATTTCTGGAAACAATAAGGAAACAGTAAGCATTAGTGCTGTGTAAAGACCTTCAGTATTACTCCAAAAGTCATCAAGTTATACAGTAGTTTTATTGTTTATATTTGTTGTCAATTATGGGGTCACAGTTCAAGGTTGAAGAAGCCACAAGACCATAAAACTGTAAGGGCAAACTTTTTCGGAGAGTATTGTGACGGCACCGAGTGTGAGCTGTTTCAAGACCAGACTTGACCAACACTGGAGCAGGTTCCAATATATTCAGGAGCCAGTGCATGCCCAGTATCTGCCAACAGCGCGTATCAGAAACATGACTGACCGTCCATTGACAACTGACCTGCAGCAATTTCACTGTGTTTTATAGTGGACACTGTCGTAGTTTGTACAAATGTGCTAAAAAGTGGCTATTTCTAAATTAAACCTAACCTAACCTTAATTGATATGAAAAACAAGCAGCAGAACAAAACAAACCTACCTAATCAAATTTCCTAGTCACCCCCTGGCATATTAAGCAGAAAGAACTTATTATGATATGGTGTAATTTTAAGTTTTTTGAGGACACGAGAGCAGCTACCCGTACCAAATGGCTCATAAGCATACACCGAGCATCGGCGTCGAACGGGCCCACGGTGGTGGAGTGTTTTGAAATATGTAAATGTGATTGGCTGTTTACATCCTGGGATGAGACGTCACCGCTGCATTACAGCCGTGAAGAAAAAGTGGTGCCCGCATAACTCTCACCAATATGTCAAGGGTTCGAGCCTCGGCCCGGACACTCGTGAGAAGGGTGTTATCCAGTGCGACCCTCACTACCACAGGTTTCCCGGTTTCCTCCTGGTTTCCCGGTTTCCTCCTGTACTAACACTAGATAGACCGCCCAAACGGCTAGTAAGCTGATAAGTGGCCAATATGATATTAAAAATATATCAGAACTCACTGATGAAAGAATACAGTAGTAAGAAAATAATCATCATAGCAAATAACACATCAGTGGGTCAGTTGTGTAACTTTCAAAAGTTTAACTTGGAAATCCAAAACTTAAGACTTGAGAGAAAAATCGGTAGAACGATTTATCTCGTGGCATTTGAAGGAAAAGTATAGGGCTGTATTGAGGTAAATTTTATCCCAAATATTAAACACAATCACACCAAACTTAATATTTAAGTTAGGTGATGTTAGATTAGGTATATTTGGTTAATTCCTTTAGCCTCGCTCTTGGAATATTTTAGCTAAGTTAGGTTAGGCAGCTTAGGTTAGTTTATCTTGCCTGTGAAACCAGGATGATGTAGCAGTCCTAGAACTTTACCTAAATTAAAAGCAAAATCTGAAGTAAGTAACAACCTAAAACATTAAAATATACCACACAAGTTTAGTCTGAATAATTGACATTAAAGCTTAAGTTTTACCTGAGAGTAATAACCAAATATTAATATTTCTCAGCTGTCTGTGGTGATGGCAGCTAATACAACTTCACTCTGGGGTCACTAACAGAGCACTTGTTATTCATGAACTGCACCATCACACTCTGGCCACAAGTCTCATCTCATCATGACTTCCTCCTGACAGCAGAGTTGCCTACCCTCATGACATTTTTTTTCCCCTATCTAAATTTTGTCATCTCCCTCCCTAAGATCAATGAGTGGTAGAATGAACCACCTCACACATGGTAGTTAATACTGTAATTTATATAAGGGTTTAATCAGGGATATATTATTATGTTATGGGCTAGGAGGAGGCCACGTCACCTTGGCAGCCACTATATTACTTATGTCCATTAATTAAGTATATCCTGTCATGAGGGATACATCAGGACACTTTATTGGCATATTCTGGGCTAGCATGCGGGGCAATGAGTATCCTTAATGAAGACACTGACCGGCAAGAAAGAAGACAGACAAACAGGTGGTGAGACAGACAGATGTTAAAAGACAAAACAGGCTGTTAAGGGGTAGTTAGTAGCCAGGAGCACCAGGTCAGCCCGCCATTATTGTTAAAGGCCGCCGCTCACTTGTTCCTCCAGTCCTTCCTTCCCTAACCAATAGTAATTTTAACATAAGGAAAATATTATATAAAAAGTAGTAATTTGTCGATAAATAGCTAAAAAAAATTACCATGTCAACTAATAATATTACGTAGATTTATCCCAAACATTTAAATCAATTTCCGTGATTTTTTTTTGATCGGACACAAGGTAAATATATATTTAGGTTGATGAAAATGAAAAGGAATTTTAATAGTGTTAGTTGTTCATAGAATACACAAGACCAACACAGCGTATCCCGATGTGACTAAAGTGAACGGCTGTAAAGATGAATAGTGTGAACGCCAGTAAAGATGAACTCAAGTGAAAATAAACACTAATAAAATAAACGCCAGTAAAAGTGAACTCTAGTGAAAATAAGCGCTAATGAAAATGATCGCTAATAAAGATAAACGCCAGTAAAAGTGAATGCCATTAACTTACTAGCAATCAATTTTACGGAAGTTTATTTTCACTGCCGTTTATCTTTATTGGCGAACATTTTCATTAGCGTTTATTTTCACTAGAGTTCACTTTTACTGGCGTTTATTTTATTAGTGTTTATTTTCACTTGACGTTTATCTTTAAATTTCGGTGATTGATTGATTGATTGATACGTTTATTGAGATACAAAAAACATTAGTACAACTCAAAGGGATGAAGTGACATAAGTCATCCCCACCCCAGTCCAGGAATGTCCCTCTCAGGACTCACATAAATCCCTAATATTTCATATAATCAGTTATAGTACATAGTTATATTCTAGATGCAAAATTTCTATATTTCTTTAATATTTCATCTATTTTCCTATTTTTAAACATCCACTCTATTTGCTTGGGGACATTATTTATATGGGCATTTCTATATACATTAAGCAATGGGCATTCCAGTATATAATGTGGCAGGGTATGGGATCTGGATGTTCTACAAACTCTACATTCTTTATCCTGTTTACTTCTCTCAGCTCCAAGTTCCCAATTATATTTATATCCTAATCTTAACCTCATATACACTGAATCTTTCCACCTACTCCTACAGTATATTCGGAGTGACAATTGTAAACTCTTGGAACAATCTGCCAGTGTGTGTTGTGACGGCACCGAGTGTGAGCTGTTTCAAGATCAGATTCGACCAACACTGGAGCAGGTACAGATGCATTCAGGAGCTGGTGCATGCCCAGAACTTGCCAACAGTGCGTAACAGAGACGTGACCGACCACCCACAGCTAACGAGCCGATCAGTGGCAAAGAGGATAAAAAGTAGAGGGGCTAATATGATCCCGGATCTACGTCATCTCGATTATCCAAGTAGACTGAGGGCCTTAGGACTAACAAAACACACACACACACATGATGTTTTATACTGTGTCACAAATACAGTAGCGGCCCACATGATGGCTTCTATGTAACGTAATTGATGCCCACATGATAGCCTATGTATAATGACTACTGTACTGTAATGATGCCTATATGATGGTCTATGTATACTGATCACTAATCTGACATCCTAGTGCCAGCCTATGTGTGGCTCAGCCATGTTAATATTGTTATTATTATCCACCCTGTACCTGTTTTCTTGTCAAAATAAACTTTCAATCAATCAATCAATTAATGCCCACATGACTGTACCTACAGATGGCATATATGTATCTCAATTTGTAGTTAGTACGAAGGATTTTGACAACCATACCGAGACAGCAGGAGTCTGCGTTTATTTTAATATTCATTGGCCATGTCCGTAAAGATACGTTGTTGATTGTATGAAAAAAAAAATGCCCACCTGGGTCTGGTGTTTGAAAATAAACACAATGTACAGCAGTTTTGGTTCAGTTGGTATTTGTGATTGTGAGCTACACCTGAACTGATAAATAGGATGACAACTGAAACTGCTGTACAGTAGCTAAAACAACTATCTGTGCAGGTGGGGGTCGATGTGCTCCGAAATTTTACGTGTGACTAGTGACAGCCCTCATATACCAAAATTTATCGTAGATGTTCTCATATTGTTTCCCCACAACGTATGCACAGATAGTTGTTTTAGCTACTGTCCACCAGACCCAGGTGGACAGACAGTGTTTTTTGGTGTGTACATACTACTATTTTAAAGTAATCTATACATAGTACAGTACATGCATTGTACAAATATGTACAGTGCACGAAAGTAAAGTACAGTAGGAATTTTACTTACTGCATGTTGTTACAATCTGGACGCAGTTTGCACACCTGTTGAATGACAGTCATTTTTACCTAAAATTTAGAAAAGAAATACTTTTAAAATTATGATAAACAAAATAGAAATTTACTATTATGTACAATAAACAATATGTTCATTGACTTAGTTGTGCAAACATCTAGAGACTGAAATCCAATGATCATGTCATGTGATGTTTGGTAGTGAGGGTCACACTGGTTAGCACCTTACTCCTGTGTGTCTGGGCAGAGGCTTGAACTACACACACAAACTACCATGGCAATGGTTGACCAACTCCTTGGCATCACATGTAACTTAATAAAAAAAATATTAATACTAGCAATTTACCTATCACACAGTTCAGTAACGACACAACCTTATATTTAAATAACTTAATATGAAAATTTACTCACCACAGAACAGCCAGTAACAACACAACCTTCCCTCACGATGCCACTCAGGCAAATGATTTTTCGAGTGACGTCATGAAGGTGTTTACATCAAGGAATTATCTAATCAAGAAGTTATACTCGAAGCGTTTAGCGGGGCGCAGTTGACGACACCTGGTATCTATTTTAGTTAGTCTCCTCAATGGTGGGATGGCGCCACTATCGCCATTGTAACGTAGGTATGTCGTCTGCCCTGTTTACTTTTTTATATATTTTTGACCGCGACATTAAAATGCATAATGGCTCCACACGGGTATAAGTCATTGTAGGCGCTGTGCCAAGGTCGCCGGATTACTGAAAGTCAGAGCAGGGAACAGTGAGGGGTCGGCTCAAAAAGACTTCACCTACACCTTTCTCCAAACAACTCTACCAATAACCTACCTTTCGTTCTTTATATCTTGATTGTGATGGTGTGACCACCGGTTTTGTGGCGCTCAGGCTGCTTTCGTGGCGATATCGGTAGTACAATTGAAACCCAACTCCTTGCTAGTGCTGCCGAGCGGGGTGGCATTGCTGCTGATGATCCTACGACAATCCTATCGCTGTTGGTCAAGCTGTGTTAAGCCACGGCATCTTTTTCTACTCCTACAACCCTCTTCCATCCACTCTTTGCACTTCCACTGGACCTTCTTTAACCCTGTCGCTTGCCTTTTAATTAAATGTTTTGTGTCACTCTCTAAGGAAGGCACGACGCCTAAGCGTAAGGGAATAAAACTCCTGCTGCACTACTGGCTCTAGCTATGTCAAAAAATAGTTACTCATGAAACAATATTCGTTTTCTGTGATGATTTTTTTTAGTTTATCCAATCCGTTTTCTATACGATCTCTCTTGGTATACTGTACTTACTCAGTAACAGGTGACGCTGTAGTAACAGGTGACGCTAAAGCAAAATTTTGGGACCTTCCTGAGATAATCGCAATGTGTGTCAGTTGAGTCTTTTTATTGGATATTCCTTGGTTTACACGTAGTCTGTCGGCAGTGTCCTCTATCTGCATGAACAATAATCGTCTATGGATCGAGCGATATGTTGTTATTTGGGCACCTTTTCACTGTATTCTTGGGTTATTAGCTAATGCTTCTATATACTTTCACTTCCAACTGTCTATACTTAATTTTAAGCTTTCACTGTATATTAGATAGCTGTAATAAGGACGAGGATGATGGGGCATCAAAGCTTACTTCTAACACCCCCTGGGCAGTCATAACTGTGTGTGAGGGTAGTGATGACTTATGGTGAGGGTAGTGATGACTTATGGTGAGGGTAGTGATGACTTATGGTGAGGGTAGTGATGACTTATAGTGAGGGTAGTGATGACTTATGGTGAGGGTAATGATGACTTATAGTGAGGGTAGTGATGACTTATGGTGAGGGTAATGATGACTTATGGTGAGGGTAGTGATGACTTATAGTGAGGGTAGTGATGACTTATGGTGAGGGTAATGATGACTTATAGTGAGGGTAGTGATGACTTATGGTGAGGTTAGTGATGACTTATGGTGATGACTTATGGTGAGGGTAGTGATGACTTATGGTGATGGTATTGATGACTTATGGTGAGGGTAGTGATGACTTATGGTGTGGGTAGTGATGACTTATGATGACTTATGGTGAGGGTAGATGACTTATGACTTATGGTGAGGGTAGTGATGACTTATGGTGAGGGTAGTGATGAGGGTAGTGATGGTTATGGTGAGGGTTGTGATAACTTATAGTGAGGGTAGGATGATCTTATGGTGAGGGTAGTGACACTTATAGTGAGGGGTAGTGATGACTTATAGTGAGGTTAGTGATGACTTATAGTGAGGTTAGGTGATGACTTATGGTGAGGTAGTGATGACTTATGGTGAGGTAGTGATGACTTGCGGTGAGGGTAGTAATGACTTATGGTGAGGGCAATGATGACTTATAGTGAGGGTAGTGTGATGACTTATGGTGAGGGTAGTGATGACTTGGTGGTGAGGTAGTGATGACTTATGGTGATGGTAATGATGACTTATGGTGAGGGTAGTGATGACTTATGGTGAGGGTAGTGATGACTTATGGTGAGGGTAGTGATGACTTACAGTGAGGGTAGTGATGACTTATGGTGAGGGTAGTGATGACTTATGGTGAGGGTATGATGACTAATGGTGAGGGTAGTGATGACTTATGGTGAGGGTAGTGATGACTTATGGTGAGGGTAGTGATGACTTATGGTGAGGGTAGTGATGACTCACCACTACAGTAGTCGTCGTGTTGTCATTGTAAAATAAGAAACAAGTTTCCTGTGTTTAAGATTCTCTGTAAATCATAAAATAAATATGAAAACTGACTTAACCTCAATAATGCCATAGAAACATTAACTTTTCGTACAAACAATTCTCTAACTGTTGATCAAAATAGTAGAAAGTAAATTAAATTAGGAAAAAAGTGAAGGAAAATGGGAATTAGAAGTGCCTGGCAACCGAGTGAGGGTGAGGAAGGGGTGGGTTGGCACCCTCAGTTAGCCGTGAGACAGTGTGGTGGAAGGACGTGCCTCGCCCCACCTCCCGGGCGCTTCACTCACTCGGGACTAATTCATTTACACATATTCATATAAAGAAAAAAGAGAGACACTGTTACTTATAAAAACAAGTTTTCTGGGAGTGAATAATAATGAAACAAATCTGTAGATGACTTTACCAGGTTCAATAGTTGATATAAAAGAAGAGAAACGTTTATATGGATAATGAAGTGAGGTACTAAGAAGTGTTCATAAATGTAAGTGTTATTATTATTGTTTGTGTGTGTGTGTGTGTGTGTGTGTGTGTGTGTGTGTGTGTGTGTGTCCTGTCTAAACATACCCTGATAAGTGTGTGTACTGAGTGTATGTTTACTGTATATTGGCTTCTTTTAACACGAAATTTACTTTATCCCAATATTAATTTGTCGTGGTTTTATGTACAGGTATGTGTTGATACCTTTTATTTTTTTTTTATTTGTAAAGAGAGTTGAGGCTGTGTGCGGTGGTTCCTATGTATACAGTCAGGTGAATGTACGTAAAAAAATTATGACTCGCATTTATAGCACAACACACACACACACACACACACTGGGGAGCGTTCGAGGAAAGAAAAAACGTAAATAGAACCCCATTTTACCTTTGAATTTAACGAATAATGACAAAATTTAAGATTCATTCCTGGGCTCAGCTTTTGGTCAAACTTTACATTTAAAAAAAATACGCAACAGAAGAGATAAAAAAAAAATTTCCCTCCTTTTACCAAACAGTTGAATTATGGGAAAATTTTACGCATCTTAAAATTACGTATTAAGAAATCTATTTAACCCCTTCACTACGGGGCGGCCACTATCAATTGTTTAATTTGTCTTACCTAACCTAACCAACCTGTCTTGTTACTTTGCCAGTACTAATGGAGAGAATAATAATAATAACAGGGACACACAACACAGCGTCACAAGCTACAGGTCGCACATTATGGAGCCTCATGATAATGGGATTTCAACAGGACGCTGCTAGTGATCCACAACTCCTTAAAATGACCCATAAGACCATTAGGGATTATTATGAAGAGATATTTAATGAACACCATTAACACAAAAATAAACCACTAAAACTGTCACCATTAAAACCCCTTGAGTATGATGACGGTCCGGCTGGTACTGTACTGTACTGTATGGCTGAGGTTATATAACATTAAATTATATATCTCTTTTCTTAGTGTCTATAAATACTATGTTGACCACACGGGACCCTGCCTGGCTGCTCAACAACCGGCTGGTGCCAGAGCAAAAATACCTTCTGTGGGTGATCCCTGCCTCGACAACCTCCTCTTCTCGAGCACCGCGGTCTGGTCCCGTCCCCGTGGACCAGACTGCCCGGTGTGTACTGGTGTTGCGTTATTTAAACATAAACAAATTAAAAGAAGCCATGGATGATGAAGTCGGTTGCGTAAAAGGGGCCCGACAGCACCATGGACCATTACACGGTCAATTCATCTGATCTGAACAACATATACAGGTGCTAGTGACGCTCAGTGTGAGGTGTCCAGAAGTTTGTCTTAATGCCGGTGCTGACGTTATGGTTCAGTCCGGCCAGATGTAAACCAAGTACCTTGATACAGCGTCCCCCGGCCTGGACGCCAAAGGCATCACCCTAGTGGCGGAGATATATCTCCCACACTATTATCGGATCTGAAACTAAAATTGATCCCACACATAATTTTTTTTTTTTTATAAATGTTATGGCGGTCGATTGGATAGATCTCTAGTTTCCTGTCCTGACGTTAAGGCTGGGCCTCATACACTGAAGGTTGGTTTATGTTCGGGACGTGAGCCTGTTGGGCCGTACACCGTTTAGTCCATTACAAGTTTAAGACGTTTAGGCCGCGAGCAAGATAATAATAATAATAATAATACCGGTATTTACTGTCTACCATTAACGAACTGTACGGGCAGTGAAGTACATAAATCGACCATATCCACAAAAGAATAAAATGCACTCCATTGAAATCAGTTATACATGTTATTCTAACCATGGCGCTGCGAGGTGGCTGCCTACAGATCGGGGCTGAGCTGTCTGTATTGGTATAATGGTCCCGTAAGTTTAATAAGCGATCCTGCATGTTAATTATGTAAGCTGTTAAGTGACTTACATATCAACGTAAGTAAAAACTGTTTTGGAATTATTTACTAACCAGTCGTGTGCAGAGGTGGACAGGGAGCATAGTAACTCCTAGCAAGGACTCTATATCTATGTGGTAGGAGGATGGAACACTCTTATGGGCGAACACTTCACCCCTGACTGTGGCGACACCAAGCGGCCGCTGAGTATAAAACACATTAAGCTCATTGTGCCTTACATAACACCAGATTATTCGATAAAATTAATTTATATATAGTCAGTAAGTTATTAAATCCCAACTTTAGATATCTAAGAATAATTTCTCAAAGCAATACATTGATTATTTGGTAGTAAAGATAATTATTTGCTTAATTAAGGTGATGTGTTGAATACTTGAGACGCTGACGAGAGCCGCTTGTTGCCATGGTGATACTGACAACACGTGTTATACTGTGTTGTCATGGTGATATTGACAACACGTAACCCTCATCTGGCTCACCACACCACCGTAATCACCACCACACTATAGGAGGCAGCTGGTGTATATGATGGTGACTGTACGTGTGTGAGATGATCATGTATGGTGAGGGGGAGGTGGTGAGGGTGTGTGTGTGGTGAAGGAAGGGTTGTGTGTTTGGTGTGGTGAAAGGAATAGTGAAGGAGTAAGGCGCTTATAGTGAGGGAATATGGCGAGACAGTATGGTGACCAGGGTCTTGTGGTTGGTAAGTCAGCCACAAGATGTCAGGTTGGCTCCCATAATACAAGACTAATTACACGTTTTACGCCCCTCCTACTGGTGCTGCCTGGTGACTTATTAACTGCCGCCACACTCTCTAGTGAGTCTGTCTGTCTGCCTGTGGTGAGAAGACGTAGTAGGGAGGAGGAGGAGGAGGAGGGTGTATTGGAAGGACACTGAATGACCACACCCATTGTAGTGTGTGTGTGTGTGTGTGTGTGTGTGTGTGTGTGGTAAAGCAACACTCCAGGACACGTATAGCCTGAAGATGTAGCCTGAGGTGTTGCTTGAGGTGTAGGGATTGCTACAGCGGTGTTACCCAAGTGTCGAGATGGCGTGTGTGTGTGTGTGTGTGTGTGTGTGTGTGTGTGTGTGTGTGTGTGTGTTAGTAAATAAATAGACATATGGAGAGAGAGATGGGTGTGGTCCAGAAGCAACACGCAACATGTGACACACACACACACACACACACACACACACACACACACACACAGTCATCAAAGAGTCAATGTGGTGAAGTGTTCCATTGTATAGTATGACCCATGAGGTCAGGTGTGGGGGGTGGGGTCACAGGGTCATGGTGATGCCCCATTACTAGGTCAACCACGCCCACTACTACTTTTTGTTAAACAATTACAATAAAGATGATGAACATATTGAACACATTTACTGTACTCTGGTCCAACACAACCCTCTAAGAGGTAGATGTTTTAAACAGAACTTTATGTGATTATGGTTTGACAAGTCTGTTCTACGTAAAAAGATGCTGATGTAAAAAACAAAACAAAAAAATTCTTACTGGCCCCAACTATGACAAATGGTCACTCGGCCATATGGCCAAAATCAGATATTTTTGAACGGACGATCTGATATTATAATTTTGCATATAACGAGCTCCTGAATTGTTTGCACTACAATTTTATAGTCAAGGGTTGGCCAAGGAATTATTATCTGATCAATATGGCCAACCTATGGCCAGATCTGGCCAGTTTTGGGTCAAAACCAGTTATTTTTATAGGAATATTTATAACATTGTAGCCGATATACAAATAACACGAGAAAACAAGATGAAAGAGATGGTTTATCTGGGAGGTTGTTTACCAGACAACCAGTGAGTCAGGCACCAGAAAGTACGATCACTGCAGACGCAGCTTCGGGACAACCTGATATCACTGTTGTCCATCAAAGTCAAGGTGCTGGACACTGACGAGATCAGCTACACGTACTGTACCAAGTGAGGCATCTGTTCTAAAAGGCGGCAATAAGGAAGCATACCAATCCAAGATTTTTATTTATTTTTATTTTGCCGCTTGCAGCGGCTACTTTATTGTGCACCCCACACTCATCCTGTGAGCGGTAGCGCAAAAGGATTACAGAGTAGGGTTTACAAAGGGTCAAAATGATTAACCCCCGTTGTCAGGATATTATGGCACTGAAAGTTACACAGTATTTCATTTACATTATTTGTTTAGTTCTATACATAAAGGGTAACTTATTCACAAATGCGTGAGTACAGGCGTGTGAGGCAGTATGTCTGGCCTCACACTTTGTTATTCACATTTACGTGGGAGGTATTCAAGCACATTGCGTATTTGGTTCTGTACATGAGAATTGATATACAGTAGTTACTAAGTGCAAAAAAGTGGATACAATCTTAATATGTCGGCTATCTTGCCATTAGAGATGAAGTGTTGTGCCATTTCACACACAGTGTGCTTGGACCTGTCCCTAAAAGGTTCTATCTTCACACAGTCGAGGACGTAGTGTTCAAGTGTGTGGCCATATGTATGGCCACACACTTTACATTTAGTTTTGTTTACATCTGCTTGAGGAACATACTGCCAAAGGTACTTATATCCTAACCTTAATCTAGCGGTTACAACATCTTGTAATCTAGTGATCTTGTTACTTGCTCCATATACATGTTTCACTTGATACATCTCATCATGGTAACCTATGGATCGACTAGTGCCTGTTTGCACTTGTCTACTTGCGTCAAACTCATCAATAAGTTCTTTCCTAATTACAGTTTTAAGGGTTCTTTTTGACAGACCCAAATTGTATTCAACGGTGTCTTTGTTAGACGCGAGTTTGGCGAGGGCATCAACTCTGTCATGTTTTATGAGGCCTATGTGAGAGGGGATCCACAACAGTTTGACCCTGACACCCCGGTCAACAAGGCACGCATATTTGTGTCTGGCTTCAGAGACAAGAGCGTGACAACCTGAGTCGAGGGTACCAAGGGCAAGTAGTGAGGATAGAGAGTCAGTGATGATGAGACTGTCAGTAACAGTGGTTTCAATGAATTTAATAGCTGTGAGTATGGCAACTAATTCAGTTTGTAGAGTGGATGCCCAGTTGTTAATTCTAACTCCTTTCTCAATTATATTACCGTCAGG